TGGAGTGTTGAAGTTCCCAGCAATGATGATGCTATTGTTTATTTCTTTTCTTAGTTCTAGTAGAATTTGTTTTACGAATCTAAGAGCTCCTGTGATAGGTGCATATATAGTAGAATTGCTATGTGTTCTTGTTGAATTGCTCCCTTTACCATTATATCGTGACCATATTTATCTTTTTTTTTACCTTTGTTGATTTAAATTCTATTTTATCTGATATGAGAATGGCTACACCTGCTCACTTTTGGTTTTCATTTGTGTAGAATATTTTTTCCATCCTTTACCTTGAGTCTGTGTGAGTCCTTGTGAGTTAGATGGGTTTCTTAAAGGTAGCATATACTTGGCCTGTGTTTTATCATCCATTCAGCCAATCTATGCCTTTTAAGTGGGGCATTAAGATTATTCATGGTAAGTGTTAGTATTTATATGTGGGATAATGTTCTGTTTATCATGTTTGATGGTACCTTACTGTTTTGTTTTCCCTCTGTGTTATTGTTTTATAAGAACTGTGTGCTTTAACATTCAGGTGTTTTTACACTGGTGAGTATCTATTTTGCAGTTCCATGTATAGTGTACTTTTGAGCATTTCTTGTAGGGCAGATCTAGTAGTGATAAATTCCCTTAATGTTTACTTGTCTGGAAAAGTCTATTTCTCCATCATTTATGAAACTTTGTTTGTGGGACACAAAATTTTTGCCTGGCAGTGGCTCTTTTTAAGAAGACTAAAAATTGAGCATCGATCCCTCTGGGTTGTCAGGTCTCTGCTGAGAAGTCTGATGTTAGCCTAATTGATTTTCCTTTGTAGGTGAGTTGTTGCTTTCATCTTACAGGTTGTAGAATTTTCTCCTTCATTTTGACTTTGGCCAGGTTGATGACTATGTGTCTTGGAGATGTTCTATTTGATATTAATCTTACCAGTGTTTGATGACCATCTTGTTTCTGGATGTCTGGATCTCTGATTATACCCGGAAAGTTTTCCTAGTAATTCCCTTGGATATGTTTTCCATGCTTTTTGCATTTTCTTTTTCTCCCTCAGGGATTACTATAGTTCTTATATTGGTCAACTTTGCATATTAGCATACTTCTCTGAGTGATTGTTCATTCTTCATTATTCTGTATTCTTTTTCTACATCTTTGACTAACTGGGTTAGTTCAAAAGCCTTTGTCATCAAGTTCTGGAATTCTTTTTTTCTGCTAGGTCTAGGCAGTTGTTGAGGCTTTCTGCTGTATTTTGAAATTCTCTAATTGACTCTTTGATTTTTATAATGTTATGCTTTGATAATTTTCTATTTTTTTATCAAGTATAGGTTTTTTCTTTGTGACCACCATTAGGCTTATGTAAAGTATCTTATAGATATAACACCATTTTAATCTCCTAACAACTTAATTTTGACTATATACAAAAATTCTACACCTTAACTTCTCCTTTCCCCACATTTTATGCTATTGATGTCACCAATTACAATTTTTACAATGCGTATATATTAGCAAATTATTATAGCTATAGATATTTTAAAAATATTTTTGTCCTTTAACTTTTATACTGAAATTATAAGTGATTTATGTACCTCTATTGTAGTATTAGGGTATTATGAATTGACTATATTCTTATCCATACAGCAAGGTTAATACTTCCATGTATTTTCATGTTATTAGTTATGTTGTTTTGTTTTAACCTGAAGAACTCACTTTACTATTTCTTATAAGGAAAGTCTAATGGTGATGAACTCCTTCAGCATTTCTTTGTCTTGGAAAGTCTTTATCTCTTTTTCATATCTGCAGCACAGCTTGACTGGGCTTAATATTCTTGGTTGACAAGTTTTCTTTTTCTTTACCACTTTGAATATATCATACCATTATCTCCTGGCCTGCAAGAATTCTGTTAAGAAATCCACTTATTGTCATATGGGGTTACCTTATATGCGATGAGTTGCTTTTCTCATGATGTCTTCAAAATTATCTTTTACTTTCATTTTTGAGAATCTGATTATATGTCTTAGTGAAGATCCCTTTATGTTTAAAATATTTGGAGTTCTTTGGGCTTCATGGATGTAGATATTTATTTCCCTCTCCAAATTCAAGAAGTTTTCTATTATTTCTTCAAATAAGGTTTCTGCTCCTTTCTTTTCCTCTTCCCCTTCTGAGTCTTCCATTACATATATTGATTCACTTGAAAGTGGTCCCATAAGTCCTGTAGGCTTTCTTCACTCTTTCTCAGTCTTTTTTTTTTCTTTTTATTCCTCTGACTATGTAATTTAAAATGATTTGTCTTTAAGATCACTTTTTCTTTTCTTTCTTTCTTTTTTTGTTTTGTTTTGCAATTGAGTTTATTGTTGAAGCTTTCTGTGGTATTTTTCAGTTCAGGCATTGTGTTCCTAAGCTCCAGAATTTCTATTTGATTCTTATTTTCTTGTTTATATCTCTGTGAATGTCTCATTTTGTTCATGCAATGTCTTCCTGATATTGTTTAGATATCTATGTGTATTCTCTTATAGTTTACTAAACTTCTTTAAGAAGATTATTTTGAATTCTTTGTCAGGCAGTTTGTAGATCTCTATTTCTTAGTTCATTCCTTTGGTCATATCATGCTATCCTGATTGTTTTTGTGATCCTTGTGGCCTTGTGCTTGTGTCTGCACATTTGAAGATGTAGCCACCCCTTCCCATCTTTATCAACTGGCTTTCACAGGGAAAGCCCTTTACTAGTCAGTCTGTCCAGAGATTCTGGGTGGAATGGTAGGAGGCTTTCATGGGCAGGCTTGTTGCTGTAGTTCTCAGGTGGTCTAGTCTGGTGCCTGGGTCAGGGGGCAGGCAGGCCTAGAACCTAAATCCACAAGGATGGCCTGAAGCTTGCATTCATGGATGCCAGTCTAGCACTGGGGCAGGCCTGGTGCTTGAGTCTACTGTGGCAGGCCTGGAGCTTGGGTCCATGGAGGCTGGCCTAGCACTGGGATTCACAAGGGTGGGCCTCATGCTGGTATCTGCAGAGAATTCAGGTATTCACATCACTTTCTTTCCCCCATGTGAAGGGTATCTCTCTGTGTGCTGTGATGTGTGAGCTTGTGGAAAGGTTGATGTGGGCATTCTATCCTTTTCTACCACTTTAAATTTGTCTTTTCTTATTTCTGCTTTCCATTCAGGTGCTGCAGTCTCTCACTTGGATTTCTTAACTCTTGTGAAGGTATTTTTGTGCATGTATAATTGTTCAAATTGATATTTTTTGCTAGGACTTGGGTGCTAGAAACCCCTATTCTATCATCTTGCTGAAGCTACTCCATAATCTGCCACTAACTTCCTAATGTCTTAGTATATTGCCAGGTATGGATACCAAGGAGTGGATAACAATAGTACCTAACCTAATGCACAAGATTTGTATGAGCATCAAAAGAGATCATCCATACAGAAGGATTAGAACAGTGTTTGGTGCACAGTGAGCACTCAGAAAACTTAAACTATAATCAAATTTACTGTTAAACCTCAGTCCCAATGTTTCCATAGTGGGCTTTTTATTTCTTCCCTCTGGCTTAATGCCATTCGCAAACATGCATGAATCTGTGAGCACATCTTCCACAGCATACGTTTATTCCATCAGTAAATAATTATTAAGGTTCTTCCATGAACCAGGCATTTTGATATGATCCAGACAGTTCTGGAGCCTAGAAGTTTGAGATCAGGGTACCAACATGATTGGGTTCAGATGAGGGCCCTCTTCCTGGCTTGTAGAAGATGGCCACCTTCTTGCTGTGTCCTCACAAGGAAGAGAGAACTCATTCAAAAATTATTTGAGTTTCTACTATGTTCCAGAAAGCATTAGGAACTCAGGGAATCTTGTTAAATAAGAGACATGGTACCTGTCCTTGGGTAGATGATCATATCATTTGTGAATAGTGTTAACATTTTTTTTCCTTCAAAATACATTTATATTATCCTATGAATTAACTAAGATCTCTAATCCAATATTGAAATACAGGAAGGATAACCCTCATCTTTATCTTATTTATAGTATTTAAATAAATATGTCTAATATCTCACCATTAGGTGTGATGATTGCTGCTAGATAATCATTTAAAAAAATTCTATCATGTTAAGAAATTTTCCTTCTGCATTCTATTTACAAAAGGTTTGCAGTCACCAATACTGTTGAATTTCATCAAAGCCTATTTACTTGTTAATAAAATTCACATGTTAAACCATCCTTGAATTTCTGGTAAAAACAGTGTTCTATTCTTATTCAAAATATCAAATATATTGAAATAAAATAGAATTTATTATCCATTTATGATTTTTTAAATGTTTTCTGGATCTGTATTTTTATCATTCCTCTCACTTCTCATTTATTTGCGATTTCACTGTTTGGGCTTTGGTTGAATTTCTCAGATTGCTATTCATTGGGGTTATGCTTTTCAATGGCATAAATACTTATTTTTAATGTCTATAATTCTTTGAGTATTGATATTTTTTGCAGACAAGAGGAAGACACCTAGGCTTAAATTTTCTATCTTCATAGTAGAAGCTAAGATGTAACTATTTGAAGAGGTGACAGAGGAAAGAAGATACATTATAATATGGAATGATAAAAGGGGTATCTGAAAGAGTTGATGAGATACAACTCATTTGGGGGTCAAATGTGGACTAATAGTATCTGTGCAGAAAGGGTGGAATTTCCCAGATCCCATGTCTCGCATTGTAGGTAGTTATTGTATGAGATCATAGACACTTATGGTATGCAGGAACTGGCTAATATATTACGCCAAGTTACTAACTGTATAGATGCAGAAATAGCCACAAAAAGGTGAAGTGATTTATTCAAGGTTCCATAGCATGCTAAGATAGTTGAGGACTACCTACTCCTATTGCAATTCTTTGCACTATGCAGTACTGTTTTTCTGTCTTAAAAAAAATATAGATGTAGGTTAATAGGAAGAAATGTACATGGAGGCAATTCTGTAAATACTTTATAAATATTGTATTGCTATGATGGTCACCTCTGTCTTCATTTCCTAGGTGAGAATCTTGAGACATCAGGTATTAAAGGAGAGCAAGTTATGATCAAAATCAAGTCTGAAACCTCTTTCAACTGATTGCCTCCCCTGTGAGTAACTCAGTAAACAACATTGCCTATTTTAAAAATCAGTGAATGGAAATGCTGTGAGGAAACAAATTGGGAGAAATATTTTTCTTTCATGTATTCATTAAAAGATTTTTAATTGTTGATATTCTTTTACTTATTAAAGTAGGAAAAAACTAAAAAGAATGATAATACTCAATGCTTGTGAGAGTCTAGCAAAACTATGGCCTAAACATTATTATAAAATAACAATCTTTTGAAAGACAAATTAGCAAGCTAAGAAAAAATGCTATGTGTGTGAAGGTATTTATTACAGCAGTATCTGGTATCAAGAAGAATTGAAGTAATAGAATTAGCCAGAGGGAAAGGTCTAAGTAAATTGTAGTATGGATGAGATTATCATATAGCTAGTAAAAATACAATTATCATTGGAAACACAAGCATTACTCAGTGCTGTCACCTCTTGGTCTTCACTTTTCTATGCTTGGTTCAGTAAGCTCCATACATACTGGCCCTGTTTCTCAAACATGCTAGGCATGAACCTGTGGCAGGCATCTTTCATTCCTAGTCCCGATACATTGGTTTTCTATTACAGCATAATAAATGAGCACAAACTTAGCCAATTAAAAAAATACCCCTTTATTATCTCAGTTATAAATATCAGAAGTCTGTATGAGCCGGATTGGGTTCTCTGTTTAGGATCTCAGAGGCTGAAATCTAGGTACAGGCCACCTGGACTCTCATCTGATACTCTGGGAAGAATCTTCTTCCTGGCTCGTTCAAGTTGTTGGAAGAATTCATTCCCTTGCAGTTATGAGTCTGAGTGAGGTTCCTGTCTACTTCCCAGCTGTAGACTAGAGTTACTCTCAACTCCTGAAGAACTCTCCAAGTCTGTCCATGTGACTCCCTCCATCTCAGCAATGGACAGCCTCCCTTATGTTGCATTCCTCTCACACACTAAGCCTGACTTTCTTTTTGGTATCAATTGGAGAAAACTTTGCTTTAATGGGTTAGGCCCACAGGCATAATCTCCCTATCTTAAGGGAAGGTACTTGAAATTTGAGATAGTTTTTAGGAAACACTTGGCTAAAAAGTGAAGATCTGAAGGAAGTGAGAGAGTGAGCATTATGGCTACCTGTGGTGCAGAAATCTAAGAAGACCTCATGACCTTTGCCCCTTGGTTTGATTCCCATGATTGTGTTAAAGTTAGGCACAGTGCATAATCTTCCTATCTGAAGGTCAACTGATTAGTAACCATAATTACATCTGCAAAATCCCTTTGCCGTGTAATTTAACACAATCCGGGGAATCATTATTTTCAAGTCACTCAGTTTGAAGTGATTTGTGACCCCCCCCCAATGAATAAATGCAACAATATCTATATGGGGAGGATGAGAGGAGAGCTGAGGTGATATAAGAGAGGTAAATCATCAACTAAGATGTGAGGAAATTAATAAAGAATATCTTCAAAAGCTAAAACAAGAAAAAGAGCACTATGAGTATATTATTAGAGATGTGGAGATAAGATAACCAGAAGAAAAAAGGTGTTTAAAGTTGTTGCCTGGGGCCAGACTGTAGGCTGGGTCAGAGGAATGCGATTTTTTTTATTATAGACTTTTTAGTAGCATTTGATTTTTAAAATGTGAACATGAATTACTTTGATAAAAATAAAATTTATATATTTTTAAATTGTCCCTGGGATATGCAATCATGTGAAGTTAGGGTTCGAGGAGGCCTCAGGGCTTGGCAGATGAATGAAGAGGCAGCTCTAATTTAGTAGACGGCTTTCTGTTGTCCATCCTGCCATTAAAGGCTTGTCCTCCCTTCTACATCTCCCTTTTCAGTGTCAGTTATTGGCAACCAGTTAAAAATGAGGATGTATTTTAATTCACAGGTGAAGACATTTAGAAGAATTTTAAAAAACAAGTGTAAGCAATGAACTGTCATTTTTGTCTTCAGCTAATTTCTATCATGGCTTCATGTCTTTTTTTGAAAAAAGAAAAATAAAAAAAGATGAAGAAAAAAGCCCAGAAGCCCTTCAACTACTAAAACCTGAAATAAAAAAAATAATGTCTTCTTCAAATCACTGGCCCTGAGTACTTCTAAATAGCCTCAACTCTGTGGAATGTGATTGCTGAAAAACTACTTGTAATTCTTGTGAGCTCTTTAGGGTCTCTCCTTGCTTGCGACTATGAATTTAATTGTATGTAAATCTTAAAGAACTTGGGGTTCCTCCAGTAATGTAAGGGTAGCTTCAGAAAATCTGCTTATTTTTATTTCCGCCACCATTCCCTTTAGAATCCTTAATGCCATTCTCTGGCCTGTCAGAAGTGCTTGCTTGAAGTGTTTGCTTGAAGCCATCCATTATTTCTTAAAGCAACACAGTCTGTGGCTTCGGCCACACAATCCTGACAACTGGACAACTTGGTTGGTTCAGGCTTTAAAAAAAAAAAATCAATCAAAGCAGCTGTTTGGCAAAGTGTATTGAGTGATTTTCTCATTTTTCGGCAAGGTGTTGTGGAATTATATCACTTCAACTCAAGTATTCTCTCATTCCCCAAATATCTCCACTGTTCAACTGGCTTTCCTTTTTCTGTCTTATCTCTGTCCCAGCCCCCAGCTTAAACTACCCTCAAAGGAAGCACCATAGGATTATGCTTTCTGGCTGGGCGATGCCAGTCCCGAAAGTGGGGTTATTCTTGGGAAACGGATCAAAGAATATTGGTATGGTCAGTTCATATGCAAACATGTTAACTCAGAAAGGCTGAGCCAAAGCCCCTGCCTGTGCCTTCTCTGTCCTTGCCAACAGTAGTTACTGATCCAACCCCAGCCAGTCCACCACCATCCCTGGCTGTGCCACGTCCACCATCCCTAGCACCTGAGATTGAATGTTATGCTCACAGGACACTCTCTAGCCTGCCAAGCACAACAATAACAGTAACACAAATCCATGTCAATTTTTGAGTATCTGTTATGGGTCCAGCATTTGATTGGCTACTTATTGCTAATCCATCCACCCATCCTGGATGTTAGGTGTGATTATTCCCATTTTACGGATAAGATCATGTAACTGGCCAAGGTCACCTAACTTGCCACACAAGAAGGCAGAATTTTTATCCATATCTTTGTGCCCACAAAACTCAGTCTACTCTGTCACGTTGCTTTGGGTATTATTGGCTCCCTAGACCCTGAAAACCATTCTCATACTATAGTGTGTTGACCTTAAAGAGATAGATCTGAAAGAACCTAGCCCTGTCTTACATGAAATCGCTTATCATACAGAGGGTTCTCACTGCCACTCTCTTTCTAATGGATTAAGCCCTGCAATGATGATGTTTTTCTGAACCCAGCCAATGCATTTGACTCGGCTCTTTGTACACCTTTTTGCTTTGGTAGAAGCCAGTCTAGACAGCGGTCAGTCTCTGAGGCCCCTGCTGTCTGCTCTTGCTTGCCTCCTTCCCCTGCTGCTCAGGATCTCCACTTTTAAATACAAACATTTAAAAAAAGTAATGAATTCTATATTCCTTATTTATTTATGTCATTGTGTTGTAAGCGCTGTGCTATACTTTGTGGAGAACAAAAAGACAAATCAAGCACAGAGCCTGATCTCAAGGAGCTACTCCTATTAGAGGTGGTTGAGGTTTATAGGTTTATTGAACTAGTAATAGAAGTAGTTAATTGTAAGCACCCGTATCGCTCTTACCATTCCCTAGGCGTTTTACAAAGGTTACTTCACTTTGTTCTCACAACAGCCCAGTGAGGTAGGTTCTATTCTTATCCCATTTTATAAATAAGGAAACTGCAACACAAAGGTCAGGTTACCAACCCAAGGAAGTTTGGCTTTAGATCCGAGCTCTTAAGCACTGCAGTGTTTAAAGATGCTGCACGGGTTGCAGAGGAAGCATAGATCACAGGGAGTGCGAGGAAAGAGAAATGGCATCCAGCTGCATAAGTCCAGGATAGCTTCCTGCAAGAGGTAGCACTTGAACTAGGCCCTGAAGGATGGGTACTATTGGGCCCTAAGGGATGAGTGTGCAGGAAGGGCGTTTTAGAAAAGAATGGCAATCAGCTGGTTGTTCATGGGCTTTTGTTGCTGAAGCCCCAACTTGCCTCCTGCCTGACTGGTGGCATAGGTCATCTGCCCAGGGTTAACTGCCTAGCCATGTGCAAGACTGGATGGCCCTTTCGTTTATCGGTCCAGTATGTCTTTGGAAAAATACTTTTAAACGCCTTTAGCAGTACTACTGATTTTTCTCCTGATTTATCACTGCCTGTGGGATTGGAGATTCCTTCCTGTGAGAATGTCCTTGAGCGAGGACCAAGCAGGAGAGCAGCTATCAGCTACATCAAAGGCGTGGATTCGCTGCCCAGCCTAGGGAAATGCTTTTGGAGTTGCACCCTAACAATTCCTTCTAACTGCGGACAGATGGTGGCAGGCTATTTAACCTCTGTGCATTTCCTGGATGTGACATTTCTCTGCTCATCTTGCTTGATGACTGAATTGAGGAGGACACCAAGCTGAAATGGTTGGGGAGAAATCTGAAAATGGAATCCCTACTCTCTGCTCCCTTCACCAGGTCCATGGACTCCAGGAATATTGTCATCATAACAATACGTTTGTGCCTTGTATTTCCTACTGGGAGGAGAAACTTGGGGAAAAGCTCTAAGAGAAACTTGGGGAAAAGCCTAACCAATGCACATATCAATGCCTTTGGCCACAGCAGAAGCTGTTGTGGAGTTTCCTGAGTTTTCTTAATCCTCTAACTTTAAATCCTTTTCACATACAACCTCATTGATCGTTTAGCATCTTCTTGACTGGACCTATTCATATCATCTGATTTCTCCTCTCCAGATGTGTCATCATGGGTGGCCTCTAAATGTAGTCATTATGTTTTTTGGGATTTTTTTTCTTTTTTTTTCTTTTTGCTGGGTCACTACTTGCTGACTCCTGACATTAGGAATGTACCCACCTTCTCTCTTTCTTATATCTGAACTCTAGCCTCACTGTTTATATTCATTATGTTCCACAATAATTAGTCTTTGCCTTGGTAGATGAGTTTTTAATGTAAATTTTCTCAAGAGAT